CCGCCGCCGCCGAGGTCCGGGCGCCCGCCGCCCGCGCGCGGGCCGCGGCCGCCGTCCTCCGCCTGGGCGCGGCCCGCGCCCGAGGCCCCCGGGCGGCGGGGGCCGCGCTCGTCCTCGTCGGGGGGGGGCGCCCCTCGAGAGCAGGGCCGAACCCAAACGGTGCTTCTCGTTGTCGGTGTCCCTCGTTTCGTCTTCAGTCCGCCTGCAGCGCGAAACGAAACCGAAACGAGAACGGCCCACGAGATCGCCAAAACACCGTCTAGGTGGCTTCGCTCGGCGGCGCACAGAGAGGGGGCTGGGGGGAGGGGGGAAGGCTCCTCAGGAGCAGGGTGCCGAAACCGCGGAGATCGCTCCGCAGTGGGACGCAGAAGGACATGCTAGTAATGTGTACCTCTGTTGGAGACGCACGTCCGACCAGAACACACAGTCGGGGCGTTGACCTAAGAAACCCTAAAATAAGGAACGAGGTTTCTTGTTTCCATAAGTTAACCTTCGATTTCCTGTCGAAAACGTAAGGAAAGCCTGAGGCAAGCTGTGAAACACTTAAGGGACGCGGAGCCCCTCCCAACGAAAAAGGGTCCTTCTTCAGGGCCCCGACTGTATACTGCAAACATGTTGTAATGGATAGATCGCCTCCCGAGCGGTATGGCCAGAAAGTGCCCGCTACGGAGCTTGTACTGCAAGATCTCTCGGCGCGCGCGTCGCCCCTAGGATGCAGACGCACACGCAGTGTTTTGGCGGCGAGCGAGGGGGGGAAGTGAGAAGGAGAAGGCCTTCTCAGAAGGCTCGGAAGTCCACCGGCCTTCTGAGAAGTTGTCTGAGCCTTCCCCGAAGACAAAAAGCGAGGGTTTCCGAGAAGTCCCGCCGCCTTCTGAGAAGGCCTTTTCCTCCTTCTCACTTCCACCCCCTCGCTCGCCGCCGAGTATCAGTATGTTGGGGCGACGCCAGCACAGAAACACAAAGACAAGACCGAAGCCCTGGACTCCATCTGTCTGCGCCATGTCTCGAGCCAGATCGATGTCTGCTGCTCCCGGGGCCCGGCACCGGGCGAAAAAACGCCCGTGGTGCAAGCATCGCACGCCTCGGGTCTCAGGGCAGGTCTGGGGCAGCCTCGTGTCGTGTCGACTTCGGCGTTGGTGCCTGACACCGCGGGGATCGTTCCACCTTGAACGATCAACCGTTTCCAAAACATCCGATCCTTCAAAGTCGACCGATTCTGGGTCGCTGGCGGCGTTCAACGTTGAACGCCGGCGGCGGGGTCGCCGCCATTCGACACGACGCGAACCTGATGATGAAAATTCGGGAAGCTTCGCGGCAGCTCGAGACATGATTTACGACGGATCCGCGTCGGACTTCTGCGTCAGGATCACGCCACGTGTTCCGTCGGAGTTGCGACGGATTCACGTCGGACTCACGTCGGAGCATCGCCGCGCGAACGTCGAGCCACATCTTACGGAGCGGACGTGGGACCAGATGATACAGTAGGGGCTAGACCGCAAGAAACCTTCCACAAAAGAACCCAACCCTGAGACCCCAGGACGTCCACTGAGTTCTGGTGTGGGAACGTCACGCTTTCCATAGCAAAGCCATCGAAACCCGAGAAACCCAGGGCACCCTGGAGACAAGCAGGGTGCTTCTTGGCATGGGCCTCCTTTGTATCTTACGGAGCGGACGTGGGACCAGATGACGCAACTATGGCTCGCCGGGCGAGGCCTCCAGGATTCCTCAGAGAGAGGTGGGCGTCCAGAAGGGGGGCTCGCGAGTCGTGGCCCGAAGCGTGTGCGCGGACAAGGGCGGGGCCAAGGGACGTACAGTCAACCCGCATAGGAAGGATGCGCGGTAAGGATGCAAGCGCCTTGGAAGGCCGTGTCGGCACTTTCCAGGCGGTGTGCGGCCAGCGAAAGCGGCCAAGGATGGGCCGAAGGGGAAGGATGCAAGGGGAACCTTGGAAAACTGCTCATCCTTACTATGCAAATTAACTATACTGAAAAAAAGAAGGGGAGCCGTGACATACGTCGGGGATCTACCATCTACTGATCCAGGTCAATCCAAACCTGGGTCAATCAGGCTTTGCAAGATCCTGCAAAATCCTGAGCTCTGACTGACCCCCTGTTGCATTGACCCCCGGGATATCATGGTCCTGGCCATGGTCCTTGCTGCCGTCGCTGAAGTCCTTGGCGCGCCCGAAATGTGCACGCAAAAAAGGACACGATGCCCAACGGCAAACGTGATCGACAACCGAAGGCGGCCGCCGATTGGCAGGCAACCTGTTGTCTCACAGGGGGAACGTACGCGGCGGCGCCGACAACGAGTGGTGCTCAAGCAGGGCACGAGCTGCTGTTGGACCTCGCCCCCATTCTTGCCATGCCCATTTCGATCGCCCCGAGTCCCTGTCGATGTCGCTGAACCCGCAGCTCCCGCCAGCCTCGTGCGGGCTGCAGTCGCTGAGCTCCGCCCAGGAGCAGCGGCTACCCGACTCGACCGAAGCGGGCTCGAAGACCCACCTCGGCGACTCCGAATGGTACGGTTTGCAAAAGGGGTGTGGCTTGAGGCCAGCACCCTGGGGGGGGGCACCCTGGGGGGCGGGCGGGGACCTCGACGGAGATTCTCCGCCGCGCCCCGAGGAGGAGGACAGCGTCGTGCCCCCCATACCCCTGCGGCGCCGATCGCAAACCACGCCCCGGCGTACAGTAGGGGCCCTTACACAAGAAACATTTTCCGCAAGAAACCCAACCCTGAGACCCGTTGACGTCCACTGTTTTTTGGTGTGGGAACCTCACGCCTTCCGCAGCAAAGCCACCGAAACCTGAGAAACCCAGGGCACCCTGGAGGCAAGCAAGGTGTTTCTTGGCATGGGCCTCCACTGTAACCACACACACACCTGGTTCCAGGGCAGACTCGTCGAAAAGCGCAGGCGAACCCGAGATTTCCGGTGCATTCGAGTCTCACGTTTAGGTCGGGCATGTCCCCCTAAAGGCGGATTTTGGACGAAGAGAGAAAAATACACAACAATGCTCAATTGCTGTGAAAAAAGAAAACCATCCCCACACGATGTTTTAACTATTTTTGCACACTCCCCATGTAGAGGGACAGGCCCGACCCAATCTTAGGTTTCCTCCATTATCGGGCGTTGGCAAAACCGGGTTTACTGGAACCTGGTCTAATGATCTGTACTGGGGGCGCCCCCCCGTCCCATTCCCACCAACCGGAACTGCCGTCACCCGAAAAAACACCAGCTCTGGCAAACCTGGTTTAGTGATTCTGGCCAACTCGAAGGCTCCGAGGCCCTACCACTAACCGGGTCCCCTTACCTGGGGCCCTGGCCATACCCGACACTGGCGGTCGCCAACCACCGTGGGCTGGCGGGGTTCCCGGTGGGGGCGTCGTCCTCGGCCGCGCACTGGCCCGCCGAGGCCTCGTCGTCCCTGTGCGAGGCCGGGGCCGCGGCCGCGGGCGCGGCGCGGCCCCAGAACGCGTGCTCGAGATGCCCCGGGGGCTGCCAGGAGGTGCTGGAGGGCTTCTCCGAAGGGCTTAGGCGACCCCTCCTCCTGCTCCTCCTCCTGCTCCTCCTCCTCCTCCTCCTCCTCCTCCTCCTCCTCCTCCTCCTCCTCCTCCTCCTCCTCCTCGGGTCGCCTGCGGCCCCGGGGGAAACCGTGCGGGAGGTCCCCCGGGCCCAAGGTGCCCCCCAGGAGTTCCCGGGAGGCCCCCACGCTAGAAAGTCCAAGTTTCGGTGGGGACCTTTTTTTGAATCGGCGATAACCCGGGTTATCCGGGGGGGGGGGAAGGAAGGAAGGAAGGAAGGAAGGAAGGAAGGAAGGAAGGAAGGAAGGAAGGAAGGAAGGAAGGAAGGAAGGAAGGAAGGAGGGGGCCGGCCGATAACCCAACCTTCGCGCTGTGGGCAGCCCTGCATATGCCCGTGCCCCCCCACACCGGACCTGCACAACCGGCAAGGTCAGGTTATCCTGGAGGGGGAGGGGGGCAAACTCGATAACCCGGGGTATTGCCGGACCCTTAAGAAACAGTCTCCTGGGGACTGGTTTTATTCTTCCCCCACAGAATAACGAAAGCCATGCCAAGACCCTCCCGAAACCCTGCGGAACGCCTCCCAGGACCCCTTGCCGGAGGGTTCCGGGAGGGTTTCGGCCGCCTGGAAAGGAAACCACTCCCGAGCGAACCCTGGACGTTCTACCCCCCACGGCCTCCAGAGAGATCCTTGCACGAGGCCCAGAACGCCTCAGGGGCCTCCTCCGTGGAGCGCAGAGCTGGGGGCGCCTCGTGGCACCTTCGGCAGCCCCCGAGGATGGCTGTCGCTCTTGCTGCGGCGGAGTCCGGCACCGACGTCCACCACCTCCAAGAAGCAGTTCTTGACGACCAACATCGTCCCGTCGGCCTGCGAAGAGCTCTGCCTTCCGGCGGCACAGTCCATGCGCATCGGACTGCCTGCACGGGCGAGCTCGCCCTTCGTGGATAGTGAGTCGGTCTGATACGGGTGCGAGGTAATCGACCCCTGACCCCCCAACAAAAATGGCTGCCCATGTTGGGCACAAAATGACAACATTGTGTCGAAATAATGCTGGCCATGTGAGCAACGTCTACATCGCAGAGCAAAAAGAGGGGCTGGGAAGATGCATGCCGCTTCCTGAAAACAAGCTTGCCCCGAATTGTGGCCGCCGCGATAGCCGCGATAGGATGGAGCACGAGAGAGACTAGGAGGAGGGGGGCTAAGAGCAGAAAACACGAGGCAGAACCAGACGGGCAGATCGGGCGGTTAGACCCTACCAGGCGGGTCGGGAAGGAGGGCCCAGGCGGCCAGGTCGAGCAGGCGGGTTGCTGAAGCGTGCGTCCTGCGTGAATCGCGAGGAAGTCTCGAGCGACAGCTCGATTCCCAAATCAATCGTGAGGAAATCCACAGCGAGAGCGCGACACCTGAATGTCGAGGGCGCGGCGTCTGAATACATTGCGAGGAAGTCCCACGCGAAAGCGCGATTCTTGAACAAATTGTGAGGAAGTCCCTCGCGAGAGCGCGATTTGGGAATACAGTGTGAGGAAGTGTCAGGCGACAGCCGTTGTTGTTGTTGTAGTTCGGGGACCAACAACACAGTTTGATCAGTAAGAATCTCCCTTATATATATCTATATATATATAAAGATGCGAGTAAAGATGCGAGCCCTGGGAAGGGCACTTCCATTGAAAAGACACACATGTTATCAGAGGGGAGATCTACAATAAATATATATGTATATATTCAGTACTGAGAGTGCAACGAAAACAACAACTACAACAGAAACAACAATAGCAGCAACAACATCAACAACTACTACAAGTTCAACAACAACGCAACAACAACAACAACAACAACAACCACAACAATATTAACAACAACAATCATATTAAGACTGTTCGCTCTTACTGGCACGCGTGTCTTGTATTCCGTATACCTCAACCCTCGATACCCGCCCAGTTCGTCTTCGACTACACCCCCTTTCGGGGGGAATCTCTTCCTTGTCGGCCACTGACTGGGGTGCGAGGAAGTCTCGAGCGAGAGCGCCGTTCCTGAATTCGGAGGCCTCTCTGGCCAGGGGCTCTCGGAATACCAATGGAGAATGAAGAAATATCGAGCGGGAACCCTTGTCGCCATGTCTGGGCCTCCACCAACTTGCCCGAATTACAAGAAAGTCTCAAGCGAAAGCGCCGTTCCTGAGTTCGGGGGCCTTCTTGGCCAGGGGCTCTCGGAGAAAATCGTGCAGAAGTATCGAGCAGGAGCCCTTGTCGTCGTGGCTGGGCCTCCGCCAACTTGACTGACTTGCGAGGAACTCTCGAGCCAGAGCGCCGTTCATGAATTCGGCGGCCTCTCTGGCCAGGGTGTCTCTGGGTAAATTGTAAGGAAGTATCGAGCGGGAGCCGTTGTTGTCGTAGCTGGGCCTCCAAGGGCTCACATTTAGGCTCAAGCCAATGCTCGAGCGGGAGCCTCGTTTTCAGAGAAAATGTAGCCGGCGACGAGGCGAGAGCGTGTGGAACCGCTTCGGGAGATCAACCAACAATCATGTTTCTTTAGAAATGAATCTTCAACAACAACAACAACAACAACAACAACAACAACAACAACAACAACAACAATCATTTAAGACTGGGGACACTCCGTTCTCACCAGTGCCAGGGTTTTCATAGGAGGCGGGCAATACCCCCACTTTGTGGGGGGGCCGGTTCAAGCTCTACCAAATTTCCAAACGACTCTTCGCCACCACCCACACCCAGCTTCCCGCCCTATGACGTTCGGACACTTCACTTCGTGGCATGCGGACGACCGTGGCTACTATTCAGGGCCCCGCGGCCGACGACGACGGCGTGCGCGCGCGAAGAAAAAACGAATGTGTCCCGCATGGTATTATTTGACAGGGATGATGGCCCTGGCAGGTGCGCAACCGTTGTCGCAGAAGTTCGAAAAAGTTGCTCGCAAAAGCCCGTTTGACAGAAATGTTTAAAAAGTGTTGGGTTTCCTACGAATCCGCAAGAGCGCGCGGGATGAGATTTTGACATTTTTTTGTTGAAAAACCATTGGTTTTTTGATGTTTTTATGTTAAAATCGCTCCGAACACTAAGCTTTTGGAAGGATTTCGTCTTGCGCGCGCGAATGTCCACTTTACCTTATTTTTTGCAAGGGATTCTTGAAATTTGATTATATTAGAACAAGAAATGTCATTTTATAGTGTTTTTTGCAAGGGAAAGCGGGGGGGAACAAAACAACCGGATCTTGATCACATCGAATTACCTGAGGCTTCCTCACGAAAATGATGAAAATGTAGCTGCGGCCTAGGCGGCGCAGGGGGGCCGTGCACCAGGGGTCCCAACAATAATTATTCTTTAGAATTAATAATGTTCAACAACAACCACCCGCCGACCCCTTGTGGGTCTCTAGGCGTGTGAGAATGTTCCCCCCCACTACCACCCCCCCAGGGACCCCAAACCAGAGATTTGACCCCTCCCCGGCCCCGGACGAACGCGTCATGGGAGCATAGAGGGCCACAAAACGGGCCAAGAGGGCTCCAAGTGGGCCCCAAGACGATCCAAGAGGGCCCCGAATGATCGTTCCAAGACGCCCAAAACGGCATCTAGACGGTCCAAGATGCCTCCAAAACGCCCCAAGAGGCCTCCAAGAGGCCTCCCAAAAGGCACCGAAGAAGTGAAAATTGCCCCATTCCTTTTGGAAAACGTATGTTTTAAACATATGCGCCTCTTGCGCTTTCATACCGTGCAAGACGGCCCAAAGACCCCTAGGACAGCTCCAAGACGGCCCACAAGTCCGCCAAAGAAGCCCCGATGACGGCGCCAAAAGAGGGCCCACGGGGGGAACCCGAACCCATCTTTCCAGCCTTCGGCCCCAGGACGCCCCCAGGTTGCCTCAAGAAGCCCCCTAACACGCCCCAAGAAGCCCCCAGGGAGCCCGAACAGAGCCCCCAAAAGCCCCCAAACGCCTCCGAGAACCTCCCAGGAATCGGACAAACCTCGTGGAATGCAGTCCTGGACGCGCAGTAGTTTATAGAGGGGTCGGCGGATGTGGCGTAAGCCTATAGAATCTAAGACTGTTCACTCTTACTTGATCGCGTGCCACTCAACACGTATATCCCAAACCCTCGATACCCGCCCTTTTCGTCTTCGACCTTACCCCCTCAGGGGTACATCTTCCTTACCTGCCACACACACTTAGCGCAGCCCCTAAAACAGGGAAGAGAGGACGGATGCGGGGAGAAGGATTGGAACGCGAGAGCGGGCCTCTCGGAGTAAATCGTGAGGAAGTATCGAGCGGGTTGTCATCGTGGCTGCGCCTCTGCGGGCTGGGACCTCAGCGGGCTGTGTCGGGGGTCCTCCGTGGGCGGCGCGCTGGGGCCTCTGCCGGCGCGCTTGTGGCCTCCGTGGGCTGGTGTCTCTGTGGGCGCACTTGGGGCCTGTGTGGGCTGTGTCGGGGGGCCTCGGTGGGCAGCGCGGGGGGGGGCATCCGCGGGCGCGCCTGGCGCCTCTGTGGGCTGGGGCCTCTGTGGGCGCACTTGGGGCCTCTGTGGGCTGTGTCGGGGGGCCTCGGTGGGCAGCGCGCGCTTGGGTCTCAGTGCGCGCGCTTGGGGCCTCTGCGGGCTGCGTCGGGGGCCTCAGTGGGCAGCGCGCCGGGGCCCCTGTCGGCTGGGGCCTCTGTGGGCGCGCTCGGGCCTCTGCTGGCAGCGTCCGAGGGCCTCAGCGGGCAGAGTGATGGGGCCCCTGTGGGCGCGCTTGGAGCTTCTGTGAGGGCTGTGTCCGAAGGCCTAGATGAGCAGCGTGCTGGGGCCTCTGTGGTTCGGGGGCCTCTCTGGCCAGGGCGCGCAGGAGCACATTGCAAGGGCGTGTCGAGCGGGAGCCCCTGTCGTCGCAGGTGGGCCTCCCACCGGAGCCGCTACTGAATTTCAGTCTCTGGCCACGGGGTTTCGGAATCCAGCTTGAGGAAGTATCAAACGGGAGCCCTTGTCGTCGCGGCTGGGTCTACACCAACTTGACTGAATTACGGGAAACTCTCGAGCGAGAGCGCCACTCTCGAGCTCGGGGGCCTCTCTGGCAAGGGCCTCTGCGAATACATCTTGAGGAAATATCGAGCAGGAGCCCTTGTCGTCATAGTTGGGTCTCCACCAATTTGACTGGATCGCGACAAAGTCTGGAGCGCGAGCGCCGTAAATGAGTTCGGGGGCCTCTCTGGCCAGGGGCTCTTGGAGTAAATCGTGAGGAAGTATCGAGCAGGAGCCCTTGTCGTCGTGGCTGGGCCTACGCCAACTTGACTGAATTGCGAGGAACTCTCGAGCCAGAGCGCCGTTCCTGAATTCGGCGGCCTCTCTGGCCAGGGTGTCTCTGGGTAAATTGTGAGGAAGTATCGAGCGGGAGCCGTTGTCGTTGTAGCCGGGCCTCCAAAGGCACACACACACTTACACTCAAGCCAACGCTGGCGCAAAAGCCTCGAGGCGAGAGCGCGCGGAACCGTTTCCAGAGATCAACAGTAGTTATTCTCTAGAAATGAGACTTCAAATGAGACTTCAACAACAACAACAACAACAACAACAACAACAACAACAACAACAACAACAACAACAACAACAATAACGACAACGACAACGACAACAACAACAACAACAACAACAACAATCCGCCGGCCCCCTTGTGGGGCCACCAGGCTGTAGGCGCGGGTTCGCAGTTTCCAGTACCAGTTGTAGCTTGTAGTTTCCAGTGTTACAGTTCTGCTTCTTGCTGGTTACTGTAACTAGTTGACTTCTTGCTGGTTACTGTAACTAGTTGATTGACCGCGCGAGGGGGGGTTTTAGCGTCTCCTGGGCGCGTTGTCTGAATTGCTGGGGGGGCTCGAAATCGACACCCCTCACGCAGATCCGCGGGGTCAGGGTCCAAAAACACATTTTGCCACATTTCTGAAATTCGTGCCACCCCTCACGCAGATCCGCGGGGTCAGGGTCC